GGGGGGGGGGGGGGAGGACGAAAGGTTTCAAATACGAAGCGACCTCACGCCCTGCAGACTCCTGATGGACGCACAGTCGTACAATCGAGGTACACGTTACGGATAGCTAATTTATTCTTAAACTATAATAGTGAGCGTCCACCAGGAACGAAACGTCAGAAAAATTCAAATTTGGCGATAAGATGGTTATTATTTAAAAATTATTCTTCAAGTCTCAAATTCACTTGCCCCCTTCCTGCGAGCAACCCCAGCTGGATCCTCGGCATCGCACTCGAGAGTAAGCATCGACTAGTTGTAATTGCATCTGATTTCGTTTTTACATTAAGCATTATCACAGTCACCGAATGACGTCTCGAGCAAAGTAATCATGGAGGTTCCCAGTACAAAGACAAATATCTTTAGATCTTCTCTTTAATCTCTTCCCACTTCGACTGGCCCGTCATCGAAGCTCGTAGAAGGAACGCCACTAGCGCCGCCATTCGAATGCCCGACGTTCACGTTCCCCGGCGACGGACGCCGTTACTTAGGCTACGCATTTTTTTTATTCATCGAAGCGAGTTTCATCGTGACGCAACGAGTCTATTCAATTAAATATAATATATAAAAAGTTAACGCAATGAAAAAATGATATGTGTTATCTTACGCTCCTATCAAGGATCAACAACTGTCTTTTACAATTTTGATATTTTTTTATAAGCTTGAAAAATCTACTTTCGAGAGAGAATCTCCTTACCGTGTCGACTCTAAGGTTTTAGTACCCGCAGACCCCTCCTTCGATCACCCACCCAATTGTACCAAGATCCTCCCCTCACCAGCCCGCGATCACTGGCGAACCCTTCACAAGATAACCCCTTATTCTCTCTTGTAATCTCGGACGAGAACCTTGCCGAGTTATATCGCCCTTTACGTGTGTTATATATATATATATATATATATAATCCCAATTTTCAGAAGGGATGATATACGTATGATGTTTTTTGTCATATGTGAATTTCTATTCGTATTTCCCTTTCATTTATAATTACTGCACGTCCAGGCTTGTAGCAACAGATATCATGTATTGTACATAGAGAAAACTTAATTTACGCGCTACGCCCGATCGATCATCCTCTTGGTGTACCCTGGAATATATTTTCGGCTAGTACAACAGTGAAGGCACGCCACGAGTAAAATGGAAGGACTGTCACGGAGGCACCGGAAAGGATAACAAAAACTGTGTCTCCTTCTCGATTCGTGGGTTCGAGCGGATACGCCAAATTTTCGTGGGAAATTATTTACGAGGAAAAAAATAATTTTCTTACGACCGCACGATACTCCCGAAGGTAAATATAATATTTGTGTCTGATTAAACGAAATTGATGAAACGTTCGTGCATAACGGTAACGACGTTCGCGAATGCTGCTTCTTGCGCGAGGCTGTAATTTATCCTTTATTTGACAGGTAGGATCGACGGATAACGAAAACACAATAAATTCACCGTATCGAACGTCCTGTCCGTCTCCGCGCGATAGACGGTACTACGAGAAACGTCACTTCCATCCTAGGTAAGCATTAATCGCGCGCTGTTGACAATTAAACATAAGCAATGTAAATTACTTACAATACCCAGGTCTGTCCCTGCGGGTGAATTTCTAAAGGTAGTTGCGAGTCGTGCGATACATATATATGCATTTATGTATACAGTCACAGTATGTGCAATGACCGACAGGTAAGAAAAGAGGGAGATAGAACGCAAAACAATTGTTAGCAAAGGAGCAAAACGAATAAACAAGTAATGGCTGTGGCGCGTTATTTGAATTCGAGAAGCGGATGGATAAATTTGAAGAAAATGGGGAGGCATTCAAAGAGGGAGAATCGTTGGCGTTCTCTTTTTATATTGCAAATTCCCGTCTGCCATACGGCTACCCTACGACGTTTTATCCGATGCTACGTCTGCGCTCGTTCGGTGCGTTAGTTTACTTATGAAAATCCCTAAGCGTTAATTTTTTTTTTTTTTCAGCCCCAAGTCGCGGTTAGCTTATGCCTACTTACAAACAGCTCGCACCCATTGTGTTTCTCGTATCGCTTCTTATCGTATGTACGCTTTTCTTTTTTCTTGAATCCTTTATGCTGTGTATATAAAAAAATATGAATCGTCTCGTTATTCATCTCTTGGAGGTAGATACGCAGGAAACAGAAGCGGTATTTTTCATTATGACATCTTCATCGTTATCGTCCTCGATTTTTTTCCTTTTTGCCATTTTTTTTCTCCTCATCTTTGTCTCGTTCTCTTCTTCTCTCTCTCTATTTTTATTTTTTGCGGCTTTTTTTTTTTTCGTTTCTTCCACTATCCCCTTCGCACCACGCCGAATCTATCGTTCGCGAGTCCTTGCTGTACCGATCCTTCCTGCTTGTGCCCACCTCTGCGATACTCGCTCTCAGGACTTGCGCAGTCGCGATTGAGAACGAGGAGGGAAGAGGCAGGCTGCGTCGATGGATCGCGACCGCCATCTTGTTTTTCTAATGACGAAAATCGGGGGGGCGCAGGGTTTCGACTTGTTATTTTGGGAAAATAGAATCGCTTGTAGCGCGACGCGTCGATTGAAAATTAATTTCATTCTAGCTATAGCACCTAAGGTCCCTACCGAAATCTAATCTGAATCTTACGTAAAATATTTAACTAAATGAAAACTAATGATCACCGATTGGTCTGCGTTAGACACCCAAGACCCATTGCAAGGTTAATAACGTTTTTTTCTTTTTTTTCCTTAGTAATATTACAGCTTTTCTTCTTCTTCTTCTTGTATGTTTAATCCTCTACCGTTACGCCTATCTCGTCCTTTGTATTGCAAAAGAAAACTTAAACATCTACATTTGGTTAAGAGGTCCAAACAAAGACTTAAATATATACGCTCCTATGTGTACACATATTATGTACGCGTATGCGGTGTATGTACAAATTACAGTGGGAAAGAAAAGAAGGCGGAATATAATGAACGCGACGTACTACAATAAATGAAGACTTACGAGATTAGTGGAAAATGCCGAAATACATATGCATAGGTATACATATAGGATACGCATGGATATGCGTGAGTACACGCAATATATCATTGCGTACATATATGGTTGCGTATGCACGCGTAACAAGCGTGCGCACAGATAACCTGATGACGCGCGAGAGTAACGCCAGGATTAAATGTCAGTACCAAACCGTAACGATTCAAGCATAGCGAACCGAATTTTACTAACATGAAGTCGTCCACGACCGGGAAATGCTTCGTGTCTAACCATAAGCTTACTGCCTTGCTTAAAGAAAAGGAAAAACCAAAGAGAAATTAAAAACATTACAAGGCGCGACCCAGGAAGCTTCCGACCTTCGTTCTTCCCGACCTAGTGCCCGGCCTGAGGATTCAGAAGAGTCCCTATCGCCGGTGCACGCTCATTCCGACTAACTTCGGTCAAGAGGACCGGTCCGTTAGGACACTCTTGGTAGGACCGGCCTTCGACGTCCTCCTCGTGATCCCTATTACCTTGGCCGTACACCGGGAAATAACGAGGGCGCTCTTGCAGACGGCGAACGTGGAAAGCTCACCGACATAAATTAGCGCAGACGAGAACCGTCACCGCTGGTGGAAGTCGCGCACGCAGCGGCGTCCAGACGGAGGCCCCTGACAGCTGGCGCTAGTGCGCCGTGGCAACCTGGCGTCAGTCACTGGTGGCACTACCGTTGCCAAAGTACTCACCAGCATCCCCACGACATATGGGACAGGTTCTGTTAGACTGGAAAGACCAGAGACATGCGAAATTATGTAGTGATATGTCAGTTTCCTTGCGGCACAGGTTTCTCATGAGTTTCTCATGGTCGCCGGGTATACAGGACAAGTTATGCCTGGACTCACCTTGAGCCACTTGTCGATGCACTTGGCGTGGAACTCGTGCGAGCAGGGCAGCACGCGTAGGGACTGAAGTGCCTCGAAGTCGCACATGCAGACGACGCAGTTCGTCTGATCGCCCTGATGCGTGTCGACGTTGAACTTGTACGAAGGCAACTGTTCGACTTCCGCTCGGGTCAAACCTCGTGGCTTAGCTTCGCCTAATCTCTCAGCCAGGGAGAGGAGGGCCTCGTAGTTTTCGGTTTCGGCCGATTCTGGTGAGCTCAGTTCGGCTTGACTGTACGGGGATAAGGGCGGGTTACTGAACATTGCTCTGCAAAAGAGAGGGATTGAGTGAATACATTTTCATTTTGAATTACGTGGACAAATTTATATACAAGACTTACAAGAAGTGCAGAAGAAGGCCCGGATAAGGCGTTGGAGGCAACGGCGGTGTTCCTCGCCACCTGCTAGGTCTCTGTCGACGTACGTTTGCCGCTAATCGTCGTGTCCTTGACTGAAGCATCTCCAGCTGATTGCTTCGCGTCTCAGGTAGGAATATAGGCGGTGGTGTTGTTACCTGCGCAAGAGCCGGCGGAGAGTAAGAGTGCGGTAGAGGCAGAGGAGGTCCTCCAGTACCACCCACTCTGTGATGATGGTGAGACTCAATTAACTCGAGCTCGACTTCCCTCTGTATGAATAAAAACAAAGAACAACCATTAGGTAAATAGTACAAACGTATAATAATAATTGAGCAGAGAACGATGAAGTAATCATATTTTTTTACCTGCTGCGACAACTGATGATGAGCGGTATAGTGAGTTGTGTTGACGGCCGGTGGAGGAGCATGTGGATGATGAAGTCCAGCCACAGGTCCTCCAGCAGGTGCTGGATATCCTCTGGGAGCAGCACCGACTAAAGAGCTAACCAGGCCATGGCCAGGATGACCTGGATGAGCTGCCGAGTAATGGCTCGGATGATGATGATGTGCGACCTGCAAAAAGTCCACCTGTCAGCACTGACCCTAGTACGTTTCCATAAGACGTGATGCTTCATAACCAAATCCATTAGATCCTAAACAGGCTCTTGGGTATCTCCTCGAGGAAAACCAAGTCAAATATTTAACAAAATAGCTCTTTCCTACGTTCAATCGATATCCCCTTGAAATACAAGAAAAAAACTGCAAAGTCCTAAGTCACGGTTCACCCTACACGGTCTTTGCGTGGTCGCACATGGCACACAGCGGAACAGGTGCCAGTGATGGCGCGACCCGCAGTATCGCCAAGAGAATTGTTGTTTTCATGTCGCCTCAAAGACAAGTTTTTACGTATTGTACGATGCAAATGGGAAACAGGTGTAGGTCTTGGGCAAGGCTGACAAACCGGCCAACATCTGTCACATATGCATACGAGCGTCCACGTGCATAACAACGAGATATGTTAATCCCCCTCGTATCTGACTCCTTCAAAAATGATGCAGCGTCACATGAGGTATAAAAGAAAAGTAAATTCTAAAAATAAACAGCCTTCCTTACCTGGCAGGAGTGTGCGAATGCATGAGCACCCGGTGGCGTGTAGATCCCATGCAACTGACACGGGATCCTATAGCCCGTAGCCTGAGGATGCCAAATGGGTTCGCCGCCTACGGCAACACCCAAACCGGAAACACCGACTTGTCCAACCTCGACGACCATTGGCCCGTTAGCCCCCTGCGCCGGATGATGTCCCGTACCAGGAGGCGGATGAGACGGATGATGCGGATGGGTCTGGTGCGCGTTGTGAATGTTGTGATGCGAATTGTGGAGGCTGTGATGGGAATTGTGAATGTTGTGATGGGAGCCGTGGAGACCATGGTGCGAATTGTGGATGGTGGAATGCGAGTTGTGCATTCCGGTGATGAAGGGATAGGAAAGTGCAAACGAGTCCGCGTACCGTTGATAACGGTTTCGGACCGGCGGGCTGCCACGTGTGGACATGTGGTTGCGGGGCGAGCGACGCTGAGGAGCAGGCGGAAGTTCCCAGGGTGCTGGCGGCGTGTGCAAGGGCGGCGTCGGCGCTGGCGGCGTCGTCTCGCGCACCTCTATACCGGAAACGGCGCCGTTCCTAGATATTCTGCGACGCTTCCGCGACGGCGATTCGCTCTGAAATTTTTCAAACTCTTTATTATATTATTCGCCTAAGGGTCCTGGCGCGCGTAACGCGACGTCTTTATCTATCGCCAAGGACAATTCGTACGAGGTGGCTCGTCATTCTTTCCTAGCGAGATTCTCGCTTGCTTACGTAATGAAGGTAGGTTAATAAAGGTAGGCGCGCCGAGACTTGAGCTGCCTGTCACAGCAGCAAACAGTGCTCGGCCAGGTTAAACTATCTACGTGTACGATTAACGCCTCGGTTCCAGACAAGCGTTACAACCCCGAAGGACTGTCGCCACTTTACGTATGATCTCATTAAAGAGAAGCCTCGCGTCCAAATTTCCATCAAACCGTAGAGCAGCGAGTCAAAGATACGGGCGTACAAATCTTCGAGACGAGTCGTATCGCCAATTGTCTGTAAAACCTCGAACGATACAACCGCTTACCTTCCGGCCATCGTCCTGACTGGGCTGCCTATAATACGGAGGCGACGGTTGAATTTGAACGGGACTCAATGGTAGTTGATTGGTAGCTGGAAGAAGGTAAGAAAGAAAAAAAAACAATTACAATTGAACACACTGATCGTGACAAGTGTGTGTACGAATGAGCAATGCAAAGTTGTCTACCTTGTGAATTTCTTCGGTATTCCATGTCGACGCCACTGGCGCCTAAGCCAGGACTGAGATTCAGCAGTGGTCCACGCATGGCGTTTTCCTGTGAAACGTAAAAAAAAAAAAAAACAGATGAATTACGTACAACGATGTGTTCCCGAGGTGAATAAAAAATGTTTAAAGAAAAAAAATCACTGCAAACATACTTGACCACAGATATTGATATGCAATGGCGGAGAATTGGCCGGGGGTCCTGTAGGTTCCTGATTAAATAGTGACGGAGGTCCTCGTGATTGTGGACTGTGCTGCGGGGTAGGTTTGTACCCCACGCCAGAACCACCGACAGCCCCGTGATAGGAAACTTCCTTACCGGCCGGGCCAGACGACGTTCCTACGCCGGGACAGTCCCTGAACGGAAACAAGAGTGAGCGATGAGTCGAGGGAACTGCGTTTAATTAAAAATGGCCTGAATTACAATAAAATGTCGATTTAAGTTTCTCATTCGATTTATCGATAAACCGTATCTATCGATATAACGAAAGATACAGTATCTACCAACGTGTGCAGAAAGAAATTATCTAACCCAGCAACGATACGTGTCCGTTGCTATTAGGCAGAAGTCCGTTTGACATGTTAATTAAAAGGAACGCGTCACCCGTTATATATTCCAATGACGAAAATGTATGTATAAACGGACAATAATACGGGTCGCGAAAAGTCCTCTGAAAGGGTAACAGACGTCACGAGTCCTCCATTGATAGTTTCAGCGAGGAAAGATCCAATCGCGTACGAGTCTACCTTACATAGATAAATAAATTATAGCCACAGGAAGAACGTGGATATCACCTACGTATTCTAGGTTATGTAGAATATATCCATCGATATTTGATTACGTCCACCTCCGGATCTATACGAACTCGATAAGAGTACGAGCATCGTGGTTCTACGCGATAGTCTCTGTGTACCCGTTGGTAACAAGAACCGTCACCAGTGGCGCTCAAGTCTACGTATCGAAAGCGAACGTCGAAATTGCGTGAGTCGAGAAAGAAAAAACAGAGAGATAAAAAAGAAGAAGAAGACTACAGAAAAAGAGAGAAAAGTAAGATAGAAAGAAAAAGGAGAGCATAAAGGTAAACGCAAGTAAGAAAGAGGGAGCGAGAGGGAGTAACGTCACGATGAAAAAGATACCAGGGAGTGATAAGGATATTGTAAAGACGAACAAGAGAGAAAACGTTTGAATAGAGAAAAAAGTGATGAGCAACGAGTAAAGAGAGAAACAGAAAAAAGAGATAGTATACTATATAGAGAAAAAAACTGTAATATATATATATAAATACGCATGCCAAACGAGATAATAAGTAGTATATAAAGTATATATGAACATTGCACAACTGAAAACAATATATGTGTATATATATATATATATATATATATATATATATATATATATATATATATATATATATATATATATATATATATATATATATATATATATATATATATATATATATATATATATATATCACATAAGCAATGCTCATATGTACACGTCCTCCGTGTATGCAAATCTGATATATACGTATTACGCGTGTACAGCAAAAGTACGTTACAAGTGTTATGTACCGACCGAGCCTCGCGTCAGGCGAAATGCGTAACGAGAAAGTGCGACGAGCATCGAGTGGATTGTCGAAAGAAAAATGAAAGAAAAAAAATGAAATAAAAGGTTAATCGCGAACGCGTAAGATATTTGACGCATGTGTCCAAACGTTACGTGGGCGTAAACGCAGGTAACGCAGCCTATAACGATACCGTAGGAAGTGAGGAAAGTGTAAGGAGTAGGTATAAAAGTGCGAGCGTGTAGACGACGTATATAACAATACCGTACGTAGGAAACTACCAAACGTGTACCGTGTGTCTCTCTAGATGTGTATAGGAGCGTGGAAATGGAGAGAAGCGAGCGAGGCGTCGCGGCGCACGCGTCCAAGTCGACGGCCAATCGATGCACGCGGTTTTCGCACTTCTCAGGGCACGGAAAGTGCCCTAGGGAGGGCCGGGTGCATCGCCAGAGCGTAGAAGGACCGGCCCTTATAGGGATTTTACGATTTACAGGAGAACATAGATACGGGGCACTGGACAACGAGAAGAACGAACGCGTGGGATAATTCACAAGGAGGATTATGTATTTCGTGTACTTCGCGGACACCCCGTATGTGTCAGTTAACGTTGATTAGGGACGCCGTCCGTCCAGTGGCGGATGACCTGAAAATTAAAGAGGGTCTTGGCCTGGACGCACTGAGAACATATCTATGTATATGTATTTTTTGAAATTCTCCATCTCTCTCTATTTATTTATTTCTCCAGTAGCTGCCTTCTACGTCTCTCTCTCTCTCTCTCCTTCTCGTTCTCGTTACGTTCTGTCTCGTTCTGTAGCTCCCTTTCGTGTCAGAGCCTCTTTCTTACTCCCTCTGTCTCTCTCGCTCTTACGTACAAAGCCAGACTCTGGCTATGCCGCATAGACGTAGAGTCCACGACGATAGAGTATCACACTAGCGACTTAGATATATATATATATATATATATATATATATATTTTTTAATAAACAAACTCTGAGTTTCATTAATTAAGATTAAGTCTGAGAGACGAGCAATCAATTATTAATGCGTCCAGACCAAGTTGAATGATCACTGTTGATGCACCACGTGTTATACCCATTGTGATAGCGAGGCGGCGGACCCTGCCGGTACGGATAATCCTTGTACTGTTGGTTAAGCTGACCGTGTGGGTGCTGGGGATGCTGGTTATGAGGGTGCCAGCTTCCTCGGTTATGGGGAGCCGAGGGTCGCGTATGGGGCCCTGGAGGTACACCCGCACTGACTACAGCCCTGTACCGTCCCTGCATACCCAGGCCGCGATGTTGATGATTCCCTTGGCCGTTCATTCGCTCTTGCTACTCTGAGTATGTATTTTCCTTTCTTTCTCCCTGGCTCACCTCTCCCTCTCTCTCTCTCTCTCTCGCTTTATCTCTGCTTATCTATCCCTCTCAGTTCCTCCTCTATACGTGATCTCCGCGTAGAGCCTCTCTTAGCTTCCTTTCTTCCTCACTGACTCACTGAAACTCCAGCCAACGTCTTCTCCTCCGTCCCTGGTGCGACTCCCCACGAATCCAATTGGGCACTCGGCAGAATTCCCGATTTGGATTCGATGGATAAGGCCAAACCTGGCGAGTGATATTCAAGCGACTTAAACCATCATCGTCATTGTCATGGCTCGACTCGGCCGCGACTTCTTCCATCTTTTGGTTAATAAATTAATATTCTTTCGAGCACGCTCATTACGTCACAGTCGTCCCCATCGTACAGGAGACTCCGATAAGAATGCATGTGCCTACGACAATGCTTTTTTTTTAAAATCATAACACTCTTCCGATTTTTTTTTCTTTCCTTTCCGTTCCCCTCTACTTCTTTTACTTCCTCTACCTTATCCTTCTTATTTTTACCTCGCCCCCTCTTCGCCGTTACCTCGTCTCTCCTTCTCTTCTTACCCGTCATCCCTTTCTCTCTCCGTCTTACTCATCGTGGCATCTCGGGTTTGTCTCTACACATGCCTTCTTGCTCGGAGACTCCTTCGCACGCACACCTTACACCTTACTCTCGCTCTCACATATCCAATGACTCTGGTCTCTAAGCGAGGAAACAGGGAAGTTAAGAGAGCGATATGCACGTTTAAGCAGTCAGATATATATATATATATATATACATGTTTAATATGCGTACCGTAAACGTTATTCCTAAAGTGCAGCAGGGAAGCGAGGTTTTCGTCAGGCAAACACGTGTCGAGACGCGACTCACCTTGGAACATGCAGCCCAGCCAGACTAGCAAGTGTCATGCAGGGTTCAGGTATTAAAAAGGATAAAGGATATATGGAAACTAGTATCGATATTTCGTTTCAATCGTTTGTCAAAAATCAAATGAAATCAAACGATAAACCAGAGACGTTTGTTACGAAAGTAATTCGCCGAGCGTCAGAGGTGGTGGCGCCACCAGCGGCACCTCAGCGACTGGCGGCGGCTCTCGTAACTAACCTATTTTCAAATTTTCTATTCGTCAAGGAAAAGCGATTGTCCGTTACTATTATTTTTCGCACACGTTTCTTCGTATTTTCTCTGTTACGATATAAATGTCACTCGAGATCTTCCAGTGTTCTGGTTTAATTACACGAAAAAGCAATGGCTTCTTAGATAACGATGATAAGGAATATAATCACACAGTTTTCGTAGCCTCATGGGTAACCGCGAGCAAAATCCAGGAAACGATTAAGCGGGCCGGAATTCAGGCCCCGTTGCTTTTGACCGGCCGTGTATAGGCAACACGTTGCTTGGCTGCCTTCTGGTACACTCCTGCGAGGAGAAACCCGTTTACCTTTAAACTTGCACGGCTCTCGCTGTCCAATGTAAAAACTAAAAGTTGCATGAGAAATGTAGCGGGAACTGCATTTTTAATTTCACGATTCCCCTTAGAGAGAAGTAAGCCGCACCCCTCCCCTCCTCGTCCCTCTCCCTCGTCACACTTGACAAGATGCCAATCACCCCAAGAATATTTTTTGTTGTCCGTAAAAAATCCAAAGAAAGCATTTTCCAAAAATTCTTTACCAAAGGATACTGCTGACTTAGTCCGAGCTCAAAGATATAAAAATAAGACATTTTATTTTGGACAAAAAAAAAGGTCAAGGAATGTCCGGTGCTCTTTTATTACAGTATATTCTTATTACACAGTAAAGAGTGTTACCTTGGTCTCATGTAACGAAGATATTGAGTATTGAGAATATATATATATATATATGTGTATTCTCGATCCTACATATACAGAAGCAAAAGTCGGAGTGGGTCTCGCACGGTAAGGACGATCCTTGCTGAAGGCAATGTAAAATTACATTGTATGGGAATATATATATACTATAGTACACTATGTACAATATAAAAACGTAGTATTATAGGCCAGAGGCCTGTGGACCGGATGAAAGGAGAAAAGAGCTCGACTTGGCTTTTCGAACTTTAGACGGCGAATCCTTCGTTCCCACAAGGACCTTGGGAAATGTAGGGGACCTCACTTCTGACCGTAGCCCCCTGGATTCGTGGGGCCTTATGGTTCGCACGCGTTGACTCACCGAGGTCCTTCAACCTGATAACACTGAATTCCCAAAGTTCAACCAAAGTCCCCAACTGTCTGAACGGTACCTTCGGCCATTACGGTTAGCGACGGACAACCAGATCTTCGACGAAGACAAGAATGTAAAGGTTCATCCTGATATTAATAAGTGCTTAATCCCAGGTACGGGCAAAGTCACGTAAAACAATTGTAACGAGACTTAGTAAAGCAGCGTTCGGACAAATCCTCCGGTAAAGGCTGTACGAGTCGAAGGGAAGAAAAAAGAATATATAGAAAGGTTCGATGCTTCGAGCCAGCATGCAGTAGACACGGAATAATGCTACCCGCAGCTCGTCGAACACGACCGAAAAAGTCCGGGACAATTGAGTTTTTGGGGTGTACGGCCAGCCAAATGTCGAATACCCTCTTGCCCTGAGAACTAACAATAAGAAAAAGGAGTTCCTAGAGTCCGTTACTGCTTAACGGGTATACGGTTGTGCCTTTAGCCAGCCATAAAGTTTATGTTGAAATTTATGTGAATTAGTTGCGAAGAGTCATACTTAATAAATGCTACGTAAGGTATCGTATCGTAGATGTAAACCCTGACGGAGACTTTAGACATTTTTTCCTAATCGCCAGAGGTAGGTATATATCAGCTCGATCTAAAGGATAGGAGGCGCGTATAGTCCGTACCCCTTAGCTGGTACGGCCGCAGCAACGCCTCGACGTCTCGTATAGCCGGTTACAAAGGCTCCGTCCGCTCTCCCGACCATAATGACGGATATTACGGTGCGTCAGTGTGCGCAACAGTGCCGGGCGCACGTACACGCCCGTTCGTTTTCCACGAAATTTCGCTGCTGCTCGAGCAAAAATTATTTACACATAGCTTAACCAAGGGACTGCGACAGTGGAGAGAATAAAGGAGGGCAAAAATTGTGTATAGGATCGACGCTCTGTGTCCGTGTTGTGTCTCGTAACCTATGGCCGACACAAGGGCAGGCTACGTGAGGCGTTATATGCGAGTTGCCGTTTCTTTCTTTAGTTTTGATGACCGAGTACGTTTCGTCGCGTTATCCGAGGAATCAGCATTGCTTCGTTGCCCGCTGCTGTGGCTGAAGACAGTGAGAGGAAGATACAAGCGAAACGAGGGTGCGAGAGAACAAGAATAGAGGTTGAACCGATAAGAAGGTAGACTGAAAGAAAAGTAGGGTTAGGCTCCGGTACGTACGGACGTAAAAGATCGAGCACATCCGTAACGAGTTTCAAAACGACTACGTGAGTATCGGGTTAACGCGTAATCCCTGGACTTATTCGAATGTCTTAACGAATCGATGATCGATTTGAAATTCGTCAATATTTCACGCGATTTGCGGTATCGTGCGATGATAAAAAGTATTCGCCAGTAGCGACTTCGATACGTAATGGCGGTGTTTCGTCAGGTGAAATTAGTGCCGTGTGGTTTTAGCTGTATTTGAGGTTGCGGAAACCCGTGAAAGTCGTCACGATCCCAACGTGGAAACAAAAGGAGATGAAATTGGGCAAAGAAAGCTGATTGTCAGGATGGATTCGTATCGATATCGAAGGACTTTTTATAATTTGCCTGACAGGAAAGAAATGTCCC